CATCAAAATCATGTCCAGTCTGGAAGCATGAATAGGAAATAAACAAAATCAAAATTCAAAAGAGTAGTACTTATCATGAAGCCAAACATTTATTAAATGCAACCTACCCTACAAAACCTTGTATGTCATACTCTGCAGTTGTTTCTTCGCCCGATTACCAAATCAGTTAAGTCTGTAGCATGTCACACTGACATCACCTTGGCAAACACAGAGAAGTAGACAGTTATCAAATCAACTTCAAATGCAGATGAGGCTATGGTTTTCCATATGGTTTTTGTATGTGTGGATTTGTAGAGGACTGAATCTCAGACTGATCCTCCATCAAGAATTTCATCTCCCATTGTGAAAAATCCAAGTGAAAATGTAGACTATCTAAAACAGTCAGATCGAGTGCCAAAGGGTTCGCGTGACTCTGTGCAGGTTTTTAGTACATTTCAGATACTGGAAGACATGGATCTCTCCCCCCATCCCCGAGCTCGCAACAGAAGCAAGTCACGCCTGGCGGGGAAAAGTAGATCTCCAGTGCTATCACCACCAGTAAAATGAACAATTATAACTCCCTAATTCAGTATAATTGCAGAGGTCTAAAGACAAATTTTAATGAAATTCAATTACTGGTACAGGATTTTAAGCCATCTGCAATTTGTCTTCAAGAGACATATCTCAAGCAAACAAAGACAATTGACTTACGTCAGTACAGTTCATATAATTCATTTTCTTCTCCGGGTGCTAGAGCCACTGGAGGATCTTCCATCCTGGTGCGACAGGATGTGATTCACAGTCCCTTGATACCAATCTCCAAGAATATGCAATAAGTCTTACTTTGCACATTGCATTTACTCTGTGCTCTCTCTATATTCCTCCCTCCTCTTATCTTAACCATTCTGAACTACAATCTCTATATGATCAGCTTCCTAAACCCTGTATCATAATAGGTGATCTGAATGGTTGTAATCCCTTTTGGAGAAGCATCAATCTAAATTCTAAAGGGAAACTCCTTATCCCAAATAATAACATATGTATTTTTAATGATGGTTCCGATACATATTTACATTCTGCTACTAGGACATATTCTGCGTTAGATCTGTGGCTATCAGATTCTAACTTGTTAAATGAATTTACTTGGTCGGTCCATGATGATTTGTGTGGAAGCGACCATTTCTCTACAATTCTGAAAACAAATAATCCATCTGACTTTCTGCCATCATTACGGTGGAATTTTAATAAGGCCAACAGCTGGTCTATATTTCAAAACCTCTGTGCTGACAAGTTAACACATGACATTTTGAGGAATGCTCCTGACCCTATTAAGTTGTCCACGGAACAACTGAATGAAATTGCTGATGAAATGATACCAAAGTCCTCTGCAAATCCACATATACGAAAACCATGGTTCGATACTACATGAATAGAATTTGAAAAAGGCTGAAACATATTTCCCCGAAAACCCAACTGTTCATAATTTAAATCATGTTAAAATTACAAATGCTAAAGCACGACATACATTCAAACAGAATAGACATGTGTCATGGAGAATTTATGTCTCAAGGATCAATTCCCGAACACCTGTGTCCAAGGTGTGGAATAGGATTCAAAGGATTAAAGGAAAACTTTCCAAATCTAGCGTTCAGCACCTCAAAAATGGTGATCGTCTACTAACAAATAAAACTGATATCGCAAATAAGTTGGCGAAACACTCACTAGACATTCTTCATCAACAAATTATGTTCCAAAATTTCAGAAATACCAGAAACAAGATGAAAAGAAAAATATTAATTTTGCCTCAGATAATAATGAAGATTTATAATGAAGTGTTTTCATTCAATGAGCTACATACTGCCCTTGGCCAAGCTCATGATACTGCGATAGGAGATGACAATATACACTATAAACTCCTGAAGCATTTACCTCAGTCATGTCTTGGGATACTTTTAGACATTTGGGATCAGATTTGGACTTCGGGGATTTTCCTCCATCATGGCATAATGTCATACCTAAACCTGGACAGGATCATTCTGATCCATCAAATTATAGACCAATATCATTAACAAGCTGCGTTTGTAAAACAGATTGTAAATAATCGTTAAATATGGTACCTGGAAACCAACAACCTCATTACAAATATTCAATGTGATTTCCGTAAAAACAGATATACCCTTGATCATTTGGTATGTTTAGAATCGTACGCCAAAGTGCCATTGTCAACAAACAACTTGCTGTATCTATCTTTTTCGATCTTCAAAAAGCATACGATACGACGTGGATTCATGGTATTCTTAAATATCTACATGATTTTTTATTGAGAAGTCATTTGCCTCAGTTTGTATCCAAGTTTTTAACAGGCAGACAGTTTCAAGTTCGTGTCTGGCCATTATAATCAGGATCAGGGTGTCCCACAGGGCAGTATTCTATCTGTTACTTTATTTAGCATAAAGATCAATAGCCTTTCCAAAGTTTTAAAGGGGCGGTCGGGTAGCCTCGTGGTTAAAGTGTACGCTCGTCACGCCAAAGACACAGGTTCGATTCCCGACATGGGTACAATGTGTGAAGCACATTTCAGGTGTTCCCTGCCGTGATATTGTTGGAATATTGGTAAAAGCGTCGTAAAAACCATACTCACTCAATCACTCCAAAATGTTAAATGACTCACTTAATGGGTCACTTTTTGTGGAAGACTTCAATATTTCATGTCGTGGCATAAATATGCAGACTTATAGAAAGACAACTACAGTTATGTCTTAATAAAATTCAGAAATGGTCACTTGAAAATGGCTTTGAATTTTCAAAAGTCAACTGTATTCATTTTAGAAGGAAGTCCAAGTACCATAAAGATCCCGACCTATTTTTAGGTACCAATCCTATCAAAGTTGTAGAGGAAGCCAATTTCCTGGGACTCATTTTTGATCGGCATTTGACTTTTCATATACATATCAAATGTTGGTAAGTTCAAGAGGGTAGCCGGGTGGCTGGAGAAAGTCGAAAGAGAGGAGGATTGTTGCAGAATTACTGGTTGTTTCCTGATCATGGTGTAAGTGTGGAATGAGAGGATTCTGTGCAAGCTGTTGTTAACATGAACTAAAGTGACTGAACGGCCCACTGATCATGACATTCAGTATTACGCCTAGTTTCGCTTCCACGTCACCGTCAGACACACTTAGCATTGTATTGGCAGCATCTTCGGAGGTTCAGCAATCAAGACTTAGATACACAATACTGTTCACGGATACATCAGGTTTCATCTTAACCGTTCTGATGGTCATGTAAGCATCTACATGCCGTTTCAGGGACTCTTGTGATACTCAAAGTCATCAGGAGTGGAAGTGTAATGGTATAACAAGCATCAGAACTCATGGTGGAACACAGCTCATCATTGTTGACGGCGATTTGTATGGCGTATGAGACCAGGACTACATCGTTTGAAGTCATGTTCATGTTGTGCAAATGCACCAGAATGATGTAGTAGACTTCATGAGGGCAGCATAACAATGCTGTACTGCTATGGCTGGTTGGTTCTCCAGACATCTCCCTGATAAAGGAAACGTTGATCAGATGTATACTAGAATTATTTAGGATCCACATCTTGGGTTCGGGAAGGGTTTTTTACATCACCTTTCTTTTAGGGGTATCGCTCATCTCCTGTTACAAGGTTTTGGTTTTGGAAATGAATTTCTTATAATATGACATTGATGTTGAACAAATGTTGATACAGTGTATGTCAAAATAGCAACCTCAGATCAACCAAATTTCCATACTAAAACAATGTCCCGTGCCTGCTTGGTAATGTCGCGACTATATCCTAACAGCAGATTCATGTAAAAATGCACTTCCATGTTAAAGGTAAGGGGTAATTTATTGTGTACCTGGGGTGTGGTGGTGCATGTAATGGGTGTCTAATTTTGTGTGAATACAAGTGAACATGTGTGAGAGGTTGTATGGGATGCACACGGTAATATGCATATTTTATAAAAACGTGAGAAGGTATACAAATACTTACATACAAGTAGCATTTTGTATTGAAAAGAAATAGAGAGTTCCTCAAAAGAAGTTCTCAAACAATGACACAATTTTCTTGCCTTTGTTCTTGTCTGTGTTCGGATTCTTGATGAATTCTAATGATCGATCTCTTGTTGCCAGAATGAACTATGTTGGCCAATTACTTCATCTAATTCACAAACAGTTTAACACAGGGGATGTCACGATTAATTAGCTGAGCACTGAGCACTGTGGTGCAATTTCATTGCAGCGTTCATGTCCCACAAGATATCACTTGACTTCCCCCAAGCTATATCTTTTGTGGAACCCAGTTTGGGATGATACTCATTCTCTCTGACAAAACTAGGGTAGTATTATTTAAGGAATGACTGTGGATTTTCTTTTGTTCATTGAGGTATAAATTGAAAAACCGATATGCAAACTGTATGAATCAGCGTAGCTGTGTCGGCCCAGTCAGACTGTAACGAAACCCGAACAAATATGTGCGGGAGAAGGCGGTTGTTTCAAATGACATGGTCAGTTACTGTCAGATTCAAACATTAGTTCCCTGAGAACGGGAAGACACAGTTGTTAAAATACAGGTTAGAAATGAAACCCGAAGACATGAAATTTATTGAACCCAGGCGAGATGACAAAAAACAGGCGAGCGAGCCTACACGTTTGATGTTTCATTCCTTCTCGGCTTTCAGTCTCAAAGAGTAGTTTGGATAATGAATATGCATGGATTTCACTAAATATCTTGTTCGTGATACACGTGATCATGAGCAGAAAGGGAATTCCCTCGACTGTGATATTGGCATTCCTCGACATTCTGTTGTAATAAGACTAGTCCGCTGACTGAATGTTTTACATTCTTTGGGAAATGAAATAACACATGACCAATTCAGCTAATCAGAATGCAGGAATTGCAATGAACACAACGACAATTTAATTATATGTCCTTGATGATGTTAATGTGCACATTGAGTGTATCATTGTTGTGAAAATATACACACATATGTGGATAATGAAAGCAAACATTTTATTTGCATTCCACTCAGAACGGTATTCACGTACATTTGGTAACACCTGGTAAAACGAAATATACAGGTTACGGTTGTATCTTCCAGCTTATTCTCGAAGGAGACATTAGGGACATAGGAAATTGTTCAGTGAATTTAAGAGATTGTGGGTGATTCAAAGCGAATTACTGTACATAGTTGTTTCTGTATGCATCTCCCCTCGTCCGAAGTCTAGTGGTACCATTGTCTGGAGCAGGTCCTCTGGTTCACGCACCTGTCAAAACAAATATAAGTAATTGTTGTTTACTTGACAGGGTATCATCGATTTTAACCATCTACCAAATAATGCTGCTGTTGCTGCTTTGAGCAGTATGTTAACGGTACCATGACCTCTCAGAGTGATGTGTGAGGAAAGTCCAAAGTGATGCAGGTCATTGACGTATAACAATCTTGTGAAACCCACGAGCAATTACAAAAATAGTTCTGACATACCCAAGACCAAAATCAGAGCAAGTCTGGGTTTTCCCTTCCATCTTGTGATCAACGTTACTTCTTGTGGTAACTCGACTGCAAAGAGGGTAAACTGAGACGAGACAAGCAAGTGACGTAAAATTTACGGCGACTGGCCAAAAAGACAAGTAGGTTCTTTAACGAACACTGATGATTTGTTAAGTGTTACCTTTTATACGTCGTCTGAACGCCATTCACGTCATGTAGAACATCAATCATACAGAATTGACCATACAGTTGTTCCTTTGGTACAAACATATCCCTCGGGCTGCACGGAATCTTCGCGTTCAAGTCCCCACAGACTTGACATTTCATTCCTTCGTGAAAACAAAATGTATTTCGTCAGAATGTCTACAATTAAGAATCTTTAAAATTGTTGAGTATATGATACGTTCAGATGTAAACGCATCACTAAATAATTTTATTTGGCTGCATAATAGATTTCATCAGCGAACAACCCTAAAATTCCCTGTATAAAGATATTAACTGCCGGGCAATTGAAAGTATACACTTGAAAATTGGATTTACCCGAAAGATTACAAATGTTATCAAACCGTTTCATGGCTGAAAACAGTCGCCGAAATAATGCAAACTCCAAAAGACAAGTATGGTATGCGTACAAAATATATCACCATCAAATTACTATTTCTTTGTTCATTATTTTGTTTTTAGCCAACAACAATCATGGGTGTATGCTTCTTTTGCTCGGCACTGTACGTTTTTGCATGCTGCATACGGTTCTGGCCCCGACTCTATTAATCACAGGCCGCTGTCATATAGCTGGAATATGGCTGAGTGCGACAAAAAAACCACCAAAAACCTAGGTTTTTATTTTCTAAAAGCAACAAATACGCGTTTACATTATTGTTTTCTTTAGTACAACTGCAGACCGCCTCCATGGTCTAGTGGTAGAGCGTCCGCCCGGAGAGGGGAAGGTCCGGGGTTCGATCCCCGGCCGCGTCGTACCAAAAGACGTTAAAAGATGGTACTTGTTTATACCCTGTCTGGCGCTCGGCATTAAGGGTCTAAAAAAAGGACTGGACGGCTCAGAGTCAGTATACTGTGTCTGAGTGGAGTATTCATGTTAAACTGCAGCATGGTATCTCAGTGAGCTAGCACTATAAATCGGCATCAGTCCGGACTAGCACAAGCAGTCACACAAACACACACACGTACATGCACGTCGCTATATAAGTGCAATAACCTTCGACGCTACGTTAAACCCCATTTCACCTCACCTCACCTTTAGTACAATTGCAAATTGAGGTAGCAGTGGATTAGAAATTGAAATTAAGAATAAATATTACATTCTACCTGCCTATTGTTTCACAATAAAGTAACGAGCAACCTATTTATGTGTCCCAAGTTATGTCTTAAGGTCATGATCATTGTTTGAGTTATATCTAATGTAGGAGGAAAACCAGAAGTCATACAGGTCTTATGTTCTTACCATTTCGTGAAATCCATGAACGATTATGGAGACATCAAACTAAGAATAAACAGCAATCCGTTTTTCGGATTCGAACGCACAGTGATTGTCGCTTTTCGCGTTTAATAATAAGTAAACTGTCAATGCAGGAGAATGACCAGTCTAGATTTTCTGTCGAAACAGTTTCCTTTTGGCGAAAACGGCAAACAGCTGTGGATATTAAATGAATAGACCACTGAAAATCAGTGATGACACCAGGTGTTCGCGGAAAGGGTAGGCATGTCCTGCTCTACCGGTAGCACCCGCCATTCATACAATTTGCATAAAAAAGTAAGTATTTATTGCCTGACGCAACACAGGGGTACTCCTGCCATGTGACGTCAACATGTAAACAAACCAGACAATGAACTGATCGATGAGCCACAAAATCCAGTGACACTAGAGTACCATTACTGATTTTTTTAAAACTTGAAAACGGTATGTTGAGGAATGTCACTCTGCACATCTCTTTGCGGGATACCAACAGACGTTTAAAGCCTCACCCTGACTATAAATAGCCCGCAAGGTGGCGGTGTTTCAGTTTTGAACAATGACTGACAATGTAAACACAACTGAGTGTCGGGAGACGTTTTTTGAAAACCATAAGGGAACCAGATCACCATTGACCGTCAAACTTCGTATCAACTTGAATGACAAACCATGGATACAACAAATGGCTCCATATCAAGATATAAGTCAATAGATTTTCTGTAGTTTTATCATAAAAAATCGAATCGATCGTGTTTGGCGTCTGCATCAATCACAGTGGGCGGAGCTTATTTACGGTTGCGCTATAAATAGCAAAGCACATGGTCATGTGTACATGTGACACATTCAATGCATTTGTGGTCAAAGTGAATTGTGTTGCATATTTTTACGGCAGAACATCAGTTTCGGTTAATGTAACAGTAACGATATTTAAATACGAAATTGACGACGCGATTCTTTCAGTTCAATCCGAAAATTACAGATATTTGTTTAGTTTTGGTCATTTGCATTCAACAGTTAGATTTGTGCCACACAATAATCAGTTAATATTTATAAAACCTAAATTATTACACAGATTTTTCAACTAGTGTTTAGGAAGGGGCCTAATTTGAAGCACCAGAAGTTGCGCCAATATTTCTCAGCTTGACTTCCATAGATGAATATGTCACGTGTATCAACATAACAATGCACATAAGCAACTGGTAAATAAGTAACGAAATATACCTGATGTTTTGACCTACTGAAGGCGTGTCCAGATAATATTGTACTTACGATAAACGAAAACTCCAATACACATATTCCAAGACAACTTTAATTATGAATTTCCTTTTCTTTCACAGAATTTTCACACACAAAACTGAGTTTGATCATTAGATCCACACTTGTCCCATGTATTTTTTGTTCGGGGTATTTGGATACACTTCGCGCACAAGTTTTAAAATACAATCTGGGATCCCTTTCCCGTTTTGTCCACACCAATCCTTCATCTTCTGCAAGGTTTAATTCCGTTTCTTCAAGTCCAAGTATCTACGATCTCTCCAAATACTTCGTTTATTTAGCTCAGTCCAGAAACAATGTGTTCGAATCGACGAATTTCTGCAACATGGTGGCCGCACCATTCCCTAACTGCGATTGCCTGTGCCGTGTCACGCATGGTTGACAAAAGAAGTGTGAACATACATATTCGGCTTCATCTGGTTCCACAATGAAATCTAGCTGTGACACTGATTCACTAATCCCAAGAATCGGCACTGAATTTATCAAAGTTTCTGTTGCACTTGCAAGGGCGGGAAGAGAGGCGCCATCTTGTCGATTCGAGTTGTGAATCGGAATGATGTCATCTTGAACTGGAACCTTCTCCACGATAAAGTCACCAATGTCACAATCGAAATGACCTAAGGCTCCCTGATTATCTCGAACAATTCTTCGTCAAATTCGGCTCCACATGAAAATGTTCTGTTGCTTATATTGAAGACAAGCGAAATTGCAAAGTTCTTGACAGTTGTAAGCAGCAACTCGATGCGCTCATGGGGCGTGGTTGCTAGGAGATCGCGTGTTCAGAAAGGCGAAAATAAAAAGTTTTAGAAAGTTATAAAAGAAATACCCAGTGCAATGAAAAAGTACCATGTACAGGATATTTTTTAATAATAATATTCACGAAAAAAATCTTTTCTAAAAATGCAAAATAATTTATTAATTTATCCCAAGGTCGTAACCCTGATCACGTGGTGGGTATTCGGAAGGAATCTTTGCGATGACGCCGTGAATGAGGCTGTGTGTATTACATTGTTGAATTCGACTGCCCAGGAAGATTGTTGAGGCATTGACATTATGACAGATGTTCGTCATGGATGGAGAGAAAAATGTATCTGAGAGAAACATTGTTGCTTTGAGCTTCGAGACAAAACACTACTGAAGTAGCCAGCGACCTGAATGTAAGCTTGATGAAAGTAATGTTGAAACCCATTTTCACGCACATGACAGAATTAATGTGAACAAATATTTTTCTGAACATCGTTTCGTAGTCTATGAGGCTGTCCGTTTTTGAATATTTTTATCTCCATTCCGACGTGAAATAATATAATGTCTTCGTGTCTCAATTTTGCTGCCGCTGTGGAAAATTGCGCACCGATCTAATAAAAGAAATACTACTAGATCTACAATATGATAAGTCTGTCATATATTTTATTTCGTCCGCCCGCTCTCTGATGAATTGAGGCTTGAGGGGAGAAACACATACAAAAAATATGGATGGCCTTATGCAAATGACACTTGGCATGCCAATCAACAGGGATCTGGGTCACTGGGACCCGCCAAGTTTCACGGATCGAGTTACTTCGGCATGAGGAGCTTCATCGGACAAGTGAGACTTTGCCAAAATACATTGCTACTGGGCAATGAAAAAACGACAAGAAACTACTTTGATCACTTGAAAATATTTTTGACCATTACCAGGGTTTTTTACACGATCGTTGTCATCCAGATTCCAGATGAGGCAAGACGAACACAACGAAGAAAAACATTGTTGAAATCACCGATTGCCGTATATATTGTGAGAAATGCTATTTGTAAACTGCAGATATACCGTACACCACAGGATAGCGATTGGTGCCCCAACACATATTATGTTTCTTCATTTACACTGCTCATATGCATCACAACAAACGTATTTCGTTCTAGAACTATAATTTGTGTGTTGGATAAATCGTGGACATTCCACGGTATCATTTTATGAAGATGTGAAGACGACATGGCAGGTAGGTTTTGAAACCAAAGACGTACGCGTTTGTTGAAAAGTCTTGGAATCGTTTGGTAGATATTTATATTACCATTAAAACTTACGTCCTTGTTGTCAAACGACCCACGTGGGTGGGTGTTTACATGACGTCACCCGTTTACGCATTAACCAATGAAATGTATGTGTTATCATGACGTCATATTGACCTGTCAGATCACTTGTATAAGCTCCGCCCACTAGAGTGCGGTAGTTACTACCGCAGATGGGGCTTTTAGACATCAGCCGTCGGGATATTTTCAGAACAGAACTTTAGCTAGATTCTAATCTTACCTTCCTTTGCGACCAGTGTAGGCGTTGGCGTTGAGGCCGACGTTGAAGATGACGTTGAAGCCGATTTTGAAGATGACGTTGAAGATGATGTTGACGCCGACGTTTAAAGATGACGTTGAGGCCGACGTTGAAGCCGACGTTGACGATGACGTTGATGCCAACGTTAGGGGAGCAGTGACTTCTGTAGAGGATGTAACGCCCGTTGACTTCAATGTTACAGAGAGGACTGCCGTGGCACTGTTGTCAGGGTGGGGTTGTGGAAATCCTGTAAAAATGCAGCTTTGTTGATCATTGAACTTAACGTCAATAGTGAGTGAGGTAACGCACCCTGTCAGCTTCGTGTGGGCGGAAGGCCCGACGTGATGCAAGTCTCAGACGTTTTCAACTTTGGTGAAACCCAAGAGCATGTAAATGTAAATTAGTGCATTGCATCAGTGAAACTACAGCTAATGAGAATCCGCGACCGCTACCACAACAAACCCGATAGGATTTTGGACAAGTTGCTGACGGCGTGCGTTATATTAAACTTGAAATCTGACGTCCATGAAAACAAAGTATGGAGTGAAATCAACAGTTATTTGTTTTCATTTCAAGATCAAATTTCGTCTGAAGAAAACCGAGTTTGGGACTTTAAGTACTACAATTCGCCGTTTGATAGTGACCTGGTGGTTGAGCCTACACACAACTCAATCAGCGATAACCAACATGTTTCCATTGGTACATTGGCAAGAAAGTGGATCAGTGGATTACATCATTTAATATCATCTTTTCATTTCAGATTATTCTATCATTAGAATGTTGGTTTCCCCGAGATTCACCGGAAAAGTCACATAAGGAGTTAGGTCGGTGGTAGCAGTTGGATTCCATTGCCAATCTGGCGTATATGTATCACATATTGTTGTAGGGCATAACCTAGCCCAGGGTGTAATATGTATGAAAAACGTATGAGCCGTCTGTGTGAAAGTCAAAACCAATTGCACGGCCAGATAAGTCTTCGTATTATTCGACGTTTTTTACCAACTGCAGGGCCTTGGAACTCCAAAAACAAACAAACAAACAGATGGAGACGAGACATGCGCAGACACAGCTTCTTGGAAAATGGGGGTGGATGTACCTAACTTTGTTTTAAATTATTGGAAGTAAGTCGGGAAACAACGTGCTTTTGTCAGCCAAGAAATAATCAGAAGTCTAAGTTACAAAGTTATGTTTTATCCGTTAACCGTTAACATGACTAGTACATGTGTGCTTCAAATAGACGGTGGGGTGGATTTGGCTTTGGTGGGACGGGTGTTGAACCCTATACCCAAGCAAATACTCTGAACAGTAAGTGTGTAACAACTTAGGGAACAGGGATTGACAACGTCCTCCGTCAAAGTAAACACTCTGGTATGGTATAGCAACAGCGGTTTGAGTCCCCTTTGTGATCCAAGGCTTTTAACAGGCCCTGGTCATCCTGACTTACTTCCTGGTCCCACTGACTTACTTCCTAGTCCCCCTTACTTACCGCCTGGTTCCTCCTGACTAACCGCCTGGTTCCCCCTGACTTAGTGCCTGGTCACCCTGACTAACCGCCTGGTTCCCCCTGACTTAGTGCCTGGTCACCCTGACTTACCGCCTGGTTCCCCCTCACTTACCGCCTGGTTCCCCCTGACTGACCTCCTGGTTCCCCTAACTAACCGCCTGGTTCTCCCTAACTGACCTCCTGATTCCCCCTGACTTACCACCTGGTTCCCCCTGACTTAGTGCCTGGTCACCCTGACTTACCGCCTGGTTCCCCCTCACTTACCGCCTGGTTCCCCCTCACTTACCGCCTGGTTCCCCCTGACTGACCTCCTGATTCCCCCTGACTTACTGCCTGGTTCCCCCTGACTTACCGCCTGGTTCCCTCTGATTTACCGTCTGATCCCCCTGACTTACCACCTGGTTCCCCCTGACTTACTGCCTGGTTCCCCCCGACTTGCCGCCTGGTTCCCCCTGACTTACCGCCTGGTTCCCCCTGACTTACTGCCTGGTTACCCCTGACTTACCGCCTGGTCATCCTGGCTAGCTTTCTGGTCCTCCCGGATTGGTACCTGGGCCCCCTGACTGACCTCCTGATTCCCCCTGACTTACCGCCTGGTTCCCCCCGACTTACCGCCTAGTTCCCCCTTACTTACCACCTGGTTCCCCCTGACTGTCCTCCTGATTGCCCCTGACTTACTGCCTGGTTCCCCCTGACTTACCGCCTGGTTCCCCCTGATTTACCGTCTGATCCCCCTGACTTACTGCCTGGTTCCCCCTGACTTACCTCCTGGTTCCCCCTTACTTACCACCTGATTCCCCCTGACTGTCCTCCTGATTGCCCCTGACTTACTGCCTGGTTCCCCCTTACTTACCGCCTGGTTCCCCCTTACTTACCGCCTGGTTCCCCCTTACTTACCGCCTGGTTCCCCCTGAATGACCTCCTGATTTCCCCTGACTTACCGCCTGGTTCCCCCTGACTTACTGCCTGGTTCCCCCTGATTTACCGTCTGGTTCCCCCTTACTTACCGCCTGATTCCCCCTGACTTACCGCCTGGTTCCCCCTGAATGACCTCCTGATTTCCCCTGACTTACTGCCTGGTTCCCCCTGATTTACCGTCTGGTTCCCCCTGAATGACCGCCTGATTTCCCCTGACTTACCGCCTGGTTCCCCCTGAATGACCTCCTGATTTCCCCTGACTTACTGCCTGGTTCCCCCTGATTTACCGTCTGGTTCCCCCTGAATGACCGCCTGATTTCCCCTGACTTACCGCCTGGTTCCCCCTGAATGACCTCCTGATTTTCCCTGACTTACCGCCTGGTTCCCCCTGACTTACTGCCTGGTTCCCTCTGATTTACCGTCTGATCCTCCTGAATGACCTCCTGATTTCCCCTGACTTACCGCCTGGTTCCCCCTGACTTACCGCCTGGTTCCCCCTGATTGACCGTCTGGTTCCCCCTGAATGACCGCCTGGTTCCCCCTGACTTACTGCCTGGTTCCCCCTGATTTACCGTCTGGTTCCCCCTTACTTACCGCCTGGTTCCCCCTTACTTACCGCCTGGTTCCCCCTGAATGACCTCCTGATTTCCCCTGACTTACCGCCTAATTCCCCCTGACTTACCGCCTGGTTCCCCCTGACTTACTGCCTGGTTCCCCCTGATTTACCGTCTGGTTCCCCCTTACTTACCGCCTGATTCCCCCTGACTTACCGCCTGGTTCCCCCTGAATGACCTCCTGATTTCCCCTGACTTACCGCCTGGTTCCCCCTTACTTACCGCCTGGTTCCCCCTGAATGACCTCCTGATTTCCCCTGACTTACCGCCTAATTCCCCCTGACTTACCGCCTGGTTCCCCCTGACTTACTGCCTGGTTCCCCCTGATTTACCGTCTGGTTCCCCCTTACTTACCGCCTGATTCCCCCTGACTTACCGCCTGGTTCCCCCTGAATGACCGCCTGATTTCCCCTGACTTACCGCCTGGTTCCCCCTGAATGACCTCCTGATTTCCCCTGACTTACCACCTGGTTCCCCCTGACTTACTGCCTGGTTCCCTCTGATTTACCGTCTGATCCTCCTGAATGACCTGATTTCCCCTGACTTACCGCCTGATTCCCCCTGACTTACCGCCTGGTTCCCCCTGACTTACCGCCTGGTTCCCCCTGACTTACCGTCTGGTTCCCCCTGATTTACCGCCTGGTTCCCCCTGACTTACCGCCTGGTTCCCCCTGATTTACCACCTGGTTCCCCCTGACTTACCGCCTGGTTCCCCCTGACTTACCGTCTGGTTCCCCCTGATTTACCGCCTGGTTCCCCCTGACTTACCGCCTGGTTCCCCCTGATTTACCGCCTGGTTCCCCCTGACTTACTGCCTCGTTCCCCCTGACTTACCGCCTGGTCATCCTGGCTAGCTTTCTTGTCCTCCAGGATTGGTACTTACTTACCGCCTGGTTCCTCCTGACTAACCGCCTGGTTCCCCCTGACTTAGTGCCTGGTCACCCTGACTAACCGCCTGGTTCCCCCTGACTTGGTGCCTGGTCACCCTGACTTACCGCCTGGTTCCCCCTGACTTACCACCTGATTCCCCCTGACTTACCTCCTGGTTCCCACTAACTTACCGCCTGGTTCCCCCTTACTTACCGTCTGGTTCCCCCTGATTTACCGCCTGGTTCCTCCTGACTAACCGCCTGGTTCCCCCTGACTTAGTGCCTGGTCACCCTGACTAACCGCCTGGTTCCCCCTGACTTAGTGCCTGGTCACCCTGACTTACCTCCTGGTTCCCCCTGACTTACCGCCTGATTCCCCCTGACTTACCTCCTGGTTCCCCCTGACTTACCGCCTGGTTCCCCCTGACTTACCGTCTGGTTCCCCCTGATTTACCGCCTGGTTCCCCCTGACTTACCGCCTGGTTCCCCCTGATTTACCGCCTGGTTCCCCCTGACTTACTGCCTCGTTCCCCCTGACTTACCGCCTGGTCATCCTGGCTAGCTTTCTTGTCCTCCCGGATTGGTACTTACTTACCGCCTGGTTCCTCCTGACTAACCGCCTGGTTCCCCCTGACTTAGTGCCTGGTCACCCTGACTAACCGCCTGGTTCCCCCTGACTTAGTGCCTGGTCACCCTGACTTACCGCCTGGTTCCCCCTGACTTACCGCCTGATTCCCCCTGACTTACCTCCTGGTTCCCACTAACTTACCGCCTGGTTCCCCCTTACTTACCGCCTGGTTCCCCCTGATTTACCGCCTGGTTCCTCCTGACTAACCGCCTGGTTCCCCCTGACTTAGTGCCTGGTCACCCTGACTAACCTCCTGGTTCCCCCTGACTTGGTGCCTGGTCACCCTGACTTACCTCCTGGTTCCCCCTGACTTACCGCCTGATTCCCCCTGACTTACCTCCTGGTTCCCACTAACTTACCGCCTGGTTCCCCCTTACTTACCGCCTGGTTCCCCCTGATTTACCGCCTGGTTCACCCCTGATTTACCTCCTGGTTCCCCCTGATCGTATCGATCGTGATTTTTGCGTCTGCATCAATCACAGTGGGCGGAGCTTATTTACGGTTGCGCTATAAATAGCAAAGCACATGGTCATGTGTATATGTGACACACTCAATGCATTTGTGGTCAAAGTGAATTGTGTTGCATATTTTTACGGCAGAACAGCAGCAGAACATCAGTTTCGGTTAATGTAACAGTAACGATATTTAAATACGAAATTGACGACGCGATTCTTTGAGTTCAATCCGAAAATTACAGATATTTGTTTAGTTTTG